TGTGTGTGTGTGTGTGTGTGTTGTAGTGTTCTGTACTTCAGCGTCCACAGGTATGAGCAGGGCTCTTTCTGGCCTCACCTGCCAGAATCCGACAGCCATTTTGTTGGCAGCGGACCAGCTGAAGGAAGAAACATCAACCTGCCCTGGAACCAGGTGAGTTCTTCCAAATCCTCCAGCTGACAGCCTCTTACCCAGAGCAGGCAACAGTAAAGCAGAACAAGCAGTTCAAACCCTGAAAAACATGCAAAAATACACCAAAACTCACCTTAGCTGTGAAGCAAGGTGGGGTGGATGGTTTAAAGCTGCTCTGCTGCCTCTGGGCCTGCACAGCTTTTACTCCCTGAAGAACTCTGCATGGCCTCCTTCACTACATCCATGAATCCTCTCAGTGACCTGCCTGAAAGCTGCATCAACATCATTTGTCCAATACATCCACTGTTACTTCTCTGCACATGTCCAAACCACCTAATGTTATCTGAGCTGTCCTGTGATGTGCTCATTTCTGATCCTGTCCATTCTGGTTGCTCCCGCTGAAAATCTCAACACCTCCAGCTCTGCCTGTGTCATGGTCTCCAAACCATCCCGATTGTTTCATTTTACAGTACCGTCTGTACTGATGTGCATTTCGTGACCTAGTCAGGTTTCAGTGTTATTGAACAAGTCTTACCTGTGTTGTGATGCGTTTGTCAGACGGGGATGACCGACGCTGATTACATCGCGGCTTTTCAACAAGTGCTGCTGCCCGTCGCCTACGAGGTAACACACACACTCATACACACATTTAGAAAATTTGATATTGATGACGTCATGTATCGATCGGCGTGTGTGTTTTCAGTTTCAGCCTCAGCTGGTTCTGGTCTCTGCTGGATTCGATGCCGCAGTTGGAGATCTGAAGGTAAAACGCCCACAGACCTGAGATCAGTTTTTTTTTTCAATCAAATGCGTCAGTTGTTTCAGTGTGTGTGTGTGTGTGTGTGTGTGTGTGTGTGTGTGTTCAGGGTGAGATGTGTGTGAGCCCTCAGTGTTTCCAGGTTCTGACTCACATGTTGATGAGTTTGGCAGAAGGTCGACTTGTTCTCGCTCTCGAGGTAAAACGTCCTCCTACACACTGACATCTGATTCATCCTGACCCTGAGATCACTTTACTCTCATGTTAAATGTACATGCGTGTGTGTGTCACGTACCCTCTTTCCCTAAGTAGAGATGCAATGAAATTATGTTCCAGGATATCAGAGTTTAAACGAGTTTGGCTTCTACCTGTTTGTTCATTTTGTTTTTGTTCTTTTTTTGTTTGTCTGTAGGGAGGTTATAACTATGAGTCATCAGCTGAGAGTGCTGCAGCCTGCATTCGAGCTCTGCTGGGTGGACCATGTCCTCCTCTAACTACACCCACTGCTCCGTCTGACAGGTAACACCTCACCTGACATCCAGCAGATTACAAAGGCTGTGTCACCTGTTGTGTTTTTCCTTTTATTCTGCACGCGGAGGACTCTCAGCCTGTTTCATTCAGACCCTGCGTGTCTTTCAGTGCTCTGCAGTCCATCTCTCAGACCATCTCAGCTCTGTATCCACACTGGGCCTCTCTGCAAGTGCTGGGTAACCCTCAACCACACCAACACACACACTCTGTAATCATAATGTTAGGACAGGTAGCTCCACATCAACAGACACAAGCTCTTAAAAGTAACATCAGCATGAAGCGCCTTGAGGCGGCTGTTGTTGTTGATTTGGCACTATATAAATAAAATTCAACTGATCTGAAATTCTAAAACCGCAGTCAGATTAACCTCCATCGATTTCTGAGTTAAAGGCCAAATTAGCAGAATGGAACCAGTCATCATCTGTGGTGATTCATAATATTATTAGGTGGATATATTTTCTTCTTTGCATCTAAGACAACAATAAAAATAGTTTATAGCCACCATATCAAACACAGCTTTGACCTATAAAGACGATGATGAGTGTAATTCTTAAGCTCGAACTAACGCAGGTTTAAACCGTCCAGACGGATGCGCAGAGGGAACCTGCAGGAACTAGAATCCCCTTTTTACTTCTCTTCATCAAACTTCCCTCTTCCTCCTTTCCGTGCAGAAGGCAGCCCGTCGGCTGAGGGACGTGCCATCAGCACATCGACCAATCAGAAAAATACAATGAAGCCCAACCTTGCCCCCTCTGTTGCCACGACAACAGGTCTGGTTTATGATGAGAGGATGATGGAGCATTCGAACCTGTGGGACAGGTGAGCTACCTCGACTCTGTTCGACATGAATACAGGAAGCTGCGATTCTGTAATAATCCCGCTGATGTAACTCCACTGCAGACATCACCCGGAGCAGCCTCAGCGAATCTTTAAGATCTTCTCCAAACATCAGCAAAAGGGATTGGTTGATCGCTGCCAGCGGATACCAGTTCGCTTGGCGACAGAGGAGGAGCTGTCCTTGTGTCACAGGTATGAAGCTGCAGAGTGCTGTGTGTGAGCAGCTTTACCTCATCTCCTGGTCCTCAGCACGAATGTGTGTGTCCAGCATGCAGCACATCGAGCAGATGAAAGCCACAGCGATGATGAAGCCCAGAGAGCTGCACAAACTGGGCGACGAGTTCGTCTCCATTTACCTCAACCAGCAGAGCTTTCAGTGTGCACAGCTGGCGGCTGGAAGCTGCCTCAACGCCTTGGACCAGATCCTGTGTGGGCAGGTACGACGTGAGTGGCTCTGCTCTGTCATAAAAGCTTCTTAGCTTCTTACTAATAACTGACATCTGCAAACGTAGCAACAAAAACACGAGTTACAATCTCTTAAATGGGCATAACTGACCAGTATAAAGTCTTCCAGCTCTTTGGTGCGCTATTTTTGAACGTTTAGCTTCTGACAGTCCATCCTTAAAAATGTCCTCTGTTCACAACACTAACTAAATGTGATGTGTGTATAATACATATAATATACTACTGACAGGCTAAGGTCAGCTGATTGGTCCGTTTCCTCTGCAGGTGACTAACGCCGTGGCCATTGTCCGTCCTCCTGGTCATCACGCTGAGAGAGACTATCCCTGTGGCTTCTGTTTATTCAACACGGCAGCTCTCGCTGCTCGCTATGCCAAGAAAGCCTCTCATGATCCCTTGATGCGAATCCTCATCTTAGACTGGGATGTTCACCACGGCAACGGCACGCAGCACATGTTCGAGGACGATGACAGGTGAGGAGGAGGAGGAGGAGCTTAATAACAGTTTTTACCTGCAGTGACGAAAACGAGCTAAACTGGACTTTGTGTCTGCAGTGTCCTCTACATCTCCCTCCACCGCTACGACAACGGTGCATTCTTTCCATCTTCAGAGGACGCTGCCCCCGACAAGGTGGGCGTGGCCAAGGGGGCGGGTTTTAATGTCAATGTGGCATGGAGCGGAGGAAGGATGGGTGACTCGGACTATCTTGCAGCTTTTCACCGTGTCGTCATGCCTATCGCCACTGAGGTAACATTTATGGCACACACTGAGCAGCAGAAATTGATCAGTTAATCAGGAGAAGAGTGATCATAATCTGATTGATAATCAATCACTTTTCAAGCAAACATGTCAACATTTTCTGGTTTGATATGGATTCTCTGCTGATAAGTTTGCCCTTAACGAGTCCTCTGATTGGTTGGTTAGATGTGACTGAGTCCTCTGGTTGGGTGTTTAGACTTGAAACTGTGCTTTGATTGGTTGATTAGCCTTTAAGTCTTCCACAAATTTGTCTTCTCTCTGTAGTTTAACCCCAGTCTGGTTCTGGTGTCGGCCGGGTTCGACGCAGCCCGGGGGGATCCCCTGGGTGGCTACAATGTGACTCCAGAAGGATACGCCCACCTCACACACATGCTGATGTCACTGGCTGGGGGGCGGGTCCTGGTCATACTGGAGGTGATCTGGGATGGTGAAATGAAAGTAAACATGGATTAAGTGAAGAAAACTTGAGTGAACTGATGCGTCTCTTTCTCCTCAGGGAGGTTACAATTTGTCATCCATCTCTGACTCCATGGCGATGTGCACCAGCATGTTGCTAGGAGACCCCCCTCCTGCCTTGGTGACGCCTCTCCCTCCTCCTCACCACAGTGCCGTGGCAACAATAAACGAGGTCATCCGATACCACGTCCCCTACTGGAGGTCCCTGAGGATTGACGGTGAGTCCAGAATCTCATTCATCAGATTTAAACAGAACTTGTTCTGCTCATCTCCATCTCCGGGTTCTATTGTTGACTCTACTAAAGCAGCTCTGCATGATTTGCAGTTAGAAATAATCTTTATTTATCGTTTACTGGGCCTCTCAGTTTATCCTCTGTCAGAAATCTGGCTTTCTCCCTTTAAGCCAGCTTTGTTTTGATTTGCTTTTCTCACAGCCATGAGAAGAAGAAAGGCAGAAAAAACCTGGCTGGATGGAGATGGAATAAATTAAAGCAACTGTCATTAAAGAGATCAGTTTTATTTTTACTGGACAGGAGTGTGTGTAGAGACCAGATCCAAGACCAGAACCTGGACCTGGTTCTGTGTTCATGGACTCTGTTAATGTACCAGTTTATACCCATTTAATTTCATTTGAATGTCTCTTTCTGTCATTCAGTTCCAGAGTCTGTCCGGGCAGCCCTGCCTACCCTGAAGCATCGTGGGAAACGTAGTTCTAAAGGAAAAGGCAGGAAGTCAGAGCAGGGCAGCAACGACAAACCGCCGGTGCCCCCTGCACGACCCGACGACTCTACGGTAACACACCCATAAACTGAGATGAGACTCCTGATAAAGAAGGACAAATTTTAACTGAGAATGCTCCTCATTTCATTTGTCCAATCAGACGGTGAGCAGTCTGGAGCAGCTCACTCAGGGACTGGCCAGTTTGGACATCGGTCAGACCTCAGCCAATCAGAACCCTGCATCCTCTCCAGTGGGAGGAGCTAGGCCAAAGGTCCCCCTGAGCTCAGAGAAGCCAACCTGTGAAGAAGTGAAGAAGGAGTCAGATGACAGTACACCTGCGTGCAGCGAATCAGCAGACAGTATGTCGTGTCAGGTGAGTCAGCAACATTTTTTTTATGTCCCACTCTCTAAGTGACCATGACAACTTCCTCACTTTTATTTCTCATAGCCTGTTGGCGTGGCAACACCAGAGTCGGTCGCAGGTGTAGATAAGGTTGAAGCCGGGGCCGGGGCGGAGCCAGAGCCCGAGGGAGCGTGTGGTTGGTCAAAGCCTCAGACATCCCTGGAACTGATGTGTGGCGCCGACGCAGATGGAGTCAGACATCATTTAATTGTGATCATTAATAAAGTTAAAAATCCAGACGAGTGTGTCTGACTGTCCATCTCTCTGTCTCCCTCTGCAGTCAACTATGTATGTGGTGGACCCTCTCTCCTGGTGTCCTCACCTGGATGCCGTTAAGCCCCTCCCCTCCTCGGGTATAGACGTCTTCCGGCCGTGTCAGGACTGCGGCTCAGAGGCTGAGAACTGGATCTGTCTCACTTGCTACCAGGTCACACGTCATACCTGTGCATCACATGCATCCAAGATGTGTTTCACCTGCTGACCTGACTCTGCCATCTGCCTATTTCAGGTGTTCTGTGGTCGCTATGTGAACGAACACATGGTGAATCACGGAGTCGTGTCTGAACATCCCCTGGTTCTCAGTTTCTGCGATCTCTCTGCGTGGTGCTACCTGTGTGAGGCCTACGTACACAACCAGGTGATGCTACTACCTGGCTGCTTCACAGCCGACAGCTCCATTACAAATGAAGCATAAACCAGGGGACAAGTTCAGTCTTCACACCTTAAAATCACATCAAGAATTGGACACTCAGTTAATTTAACTGAACACCTGTTGGGACACATAAACCCCTCAAACAGTAAACAAAGTTATCATGCTTTGTAACGTTTACTCAGAGATATTAATGTCATGTTACAACAATAATTCACAGTGTCATAAATCCAACCCTGAGCCTGGTTTTAACAGGTTTTAATTAAACCAAATATATCTGATGTAAAAACTAATAATAGATCTTGAATTTGCACATATAAGTGTTACCAAGGCTGGTTCACAGGCCTGAACATGACCAGGAAATAATAATTAAATTAAGAATGACTGTGGTTTACTGGAGACACACAGCCAAGCTTTGTGTCGTGAAACTAGACGCACATAAAAGTGAAACTTCACGGTACGTCACTGAGAATGTTTCAAGCTCAGTAAAGAAATTTCTCTGCTCTGTTCCTTCAGCATTAGTTTCCCTTTGTTTCCATTCTGTGCTTAGTTACTTTGTTACTGTGCAGGTAAAAGTGTAGCCAGCTGTTTTGTTTGGTGTCACTTTGTAAACACAAGCCAAAATTTAAAAGAACCTGAAAAGATATGTGGACTGGATTAAAACTTTTAAAGTGTGGAAAGCCATTTGTTTCAAAAATTTCCTGGCTTTCACAGCCAGTGTTTATATGCACTGACAGTGATTATCACGTTTCTTCTTCTGTTGTTCAGATTCTGTTTGAAGCTAAAAACGCTGCTCACTGCGGCAAGTTTGGAGAGGAGATCCCCCCCTGGAGCTGAGCGTAAAACCTCATGTATGCAGCTGTTTCTCGCTTTTCTTCTCGCTGTCTTCCTTCTCTGTGATTGGACGGTTGAGTGCATTGCTATGGATACCAGCAGCAGTGGTGCTTCCTGGGGAAACGCTGTTAAATTCACCAGCTTTGTACGGCGTCCCACAACTGCCAAAACACAAAAACTCACATGCAAAGCAAAAGATGTTTTTATTTGTATTTTTTACTTCAGACACTCAATGATCTTCATCGTCATCAGCAAGTTGTCAGTTCTATTCCCCGAAAAAAGCACCAGCATGCTGTTAACACTTTTATTTTGAAAATCATGAGCGGAAGAAGTTGAAGAAGCAAAAAGAAGAAGATAGCCATTTTCAGAAAAACAGGAAGAATTTTGGCTCAGGAGGACTTCATTCTCAAGTCATAGTGGTGATGATGTCACCAAGAGGCCACGCCCCCTCCAGAGAGTGTTGCCAAAATGTGACTGATGGCATGATGACCGTCCATCAGACCGAAACAATCAACATCAGGATTTAAAAAACGAAAAAAGTCTGAAAACAGAAACTTATTTTTTAGAGGAGAAAAAAGGAATTTTAGTTAAAATCAACCTTTTTTCTTTCCTGCTGAAATCTTGCAGCAATAAATCTGTGAGAATGATCAATAACTGAGTTCATTGATTTGTTTTGTTCCATAATATATAAAAAAAAAATCCTTTCTCTGACGTAAAGCAGCCGAAGAGAAAACAGATCAATAGACTTAAAAAAAAACAGCTGATTGCTTTTGTTGTCGGTGAGATCGGAGGAGCTCTGTGTGCTGTGCAATAACACTCGGTTTGTCTGCCTGTTCGTAAACTCGTTATTTCTGTTAAACTGTTTGTTTGCACCAAATCAGACTGGATCAATATCCACGATCAATATTCAGTGTCTGAGTTTCCGCAGTACAAAATAAAGAAAACTTCTCATTTTCTGTTGACTTTATTGACCGCTTCATATTTTCCATCATGCGTCTCCTGCTCATATTAAAGACCCCAGACTGCTCTAAATCTGTTTTGGTTTATTTTCTACTCTGCTCTGTGTTATGTCAATATCAGGTTAGCAGGTCGCTCCCCGAAAAGCCTTCAGTTAATCCAGATCTGCAGCGAAACACTGAGAATCTTTTTCCTATATTGGCTTCTCATTGGCACTTAGTTAAATCCAGAATTTAATTTGAAATCCTTTCCCTCAAGGTCTTGAATATCATAAAGACCTTTTAGTATCCTAGCCAAACACTTTGCTCTCAGACTGCAGGCTTACTTGTGGAGTATTTAAAGTAGAATGGGAGGCAGAGCCTTTAGCTTTCAGGCTCCTCTTCTGTGGAACCAGCTCCTAGTTTTCCAGCTTCTCTCTACTTGTAAGATTAGGTTTAAAATGTTTCTTTCTACAAAGCTCATAGTTAGAGAGGAGCTACGCTGCTATGAGCTGTTTATACACTATCACAACATGTCCTCTGTCCTGTAGTTTGTCCTCTCTCTTTCCTCTCACCTCCAACCCATCTCAGCCGATGCCTGCCCCTCCCAGAGCCTGGTTCAGATGGAGGTTCTCTTACTGTTCAAAATGAGTTCTTCCATCTCACAACTTCTTGTTCACATGATCGACTGATCATTGGGGTTCACCCTCTGATGTTGCCCTGCACTACAAAGCACACTGAGGTTACAAATACGGTCACTTCATTTATGCCAGGGCTCACCTCTGCTAAATGAAGCCAGTGATTTAGACCTCTCTTCTCTGTTTGAAGTAACTGAATTACAAATTATCTGTCAAATGACATCTTTTGCTGTGAGGCAGAGACCAGCCAAGAAGTCTATATGAGTGAGATGACATGCCTGTATTTTATTTCAGATTAGCAGACGTGAAAGAGGCCGCCATGGGAAATTGCTAAACACACCCTCTCCTCCCTCTCATTCAGATATGGTCACTTCCGGCTCCTTAACACGACCAGAGTCAAGTCAGGGATGTTATTGCTGCTGCGTACTTCTTTTAAGTAGCACAGAGGAATGACCTTTGCATTCAGTCATGCACCTTTACAGAATAGAATGCATTGGTGCAAATTAACAGACGCATAAAGAAGGTAAAATGAGCCATTTGCTGCTCACATCTTTTCCCCCTCTTTTTGTAAACTGGTGCGAGTTGAATCAAAGTGAACGTTCAGTCCTCTTGCAGCTCCTCAGTCCTCCTGTAGGAGGCGCAGCTCATTACAAACGACCGAGTGTGGAGTGTGGAGGCTCGTCTGTTGTTCGTGTTTCTCCGTCCGCTTATTGATCAGCAGATTATTGTTTACGGCGGAAGCTCCACATCCGGGGATGTAGAGGAGCCCGCCCCCTCCCTGCTGCTGCAGCATCCTCTCATCCGGCAGACAGACAGGTGGAGCTCCTCCCGCAGACAGACAGGTGCACAGACAGACAGGTGGAGCTCCTCACGCTGCAGGTTGGTTGATGCCGTTTTTCTCTTTTTACCGGATGAATACGGCTGCGGCTCGTGCCGTTTCTGTGCTCGGTAAATCACGGGGTGATGATGTGACGTTGGTCTGTAGGTGATCTGATGTTTATCGGCCGCTGATTGGCTGTCAGTCGCTTTGATTCTGCAGCTTTTCGTGTTCTCGGTATCAACCCCGGTTTTTCCCCCACTTGGTCCTTGCAGAATTTCTCTGCAGGCTGTCCTGAGCGTCGGTGTCTGCGCTCATTGTTGCAGAGAGATGATGCAGAGCGAGACTCCCCCTGTGCCTCTGTGATTCACTGATGCTCCGTCTGTGCATCTAGGGCTTCACGATTAATCGAATTTTAAATCTCGAACACGATTTCGGCTTCCCATAAATGCACGCGCTCCCGTAATCAGCACCTGACCACGTGCCTACATGTGCCAATCATAGCTGTTCCCTGAGCCTGCACAGCCGAAAATCTCAGGTAGAGCTCCTGCCGCTACACCTGTCTCCACCTCTCATTCACGTTGTGCAGGTACAGTGACAGGAGTGGAGGATTTTATGTTAAGACTTCCTCCCTGCTCCCGCCTTTAGCAGATAATACACCGGACTATCATTTATGAAAGGATGCAGGTTTTTTTAATAGAGCATTTTCCATTTCGTGCTATAATCTGCTGATATGTTTTGAACCTACGGTGAAGGAACCAGTGGCGAGTACGATGCTGTAATAAAATCTGATTATAAGCCTTTTAAAGTAATCGAAGGTCTAACGTAGTTCAGTTTGTATTAGTTTTGTCTTCACATTGGTCTCTGCTTGATTGTCAGTCTTTAGGATCTATTGGACGTCTTCACCTCACAATATAAATACGATTCACAGGTCTTTTCGCGTTGGCATAATCTAACATCACACAGACTTTGTACTTTTTACCATGCAACCGTCCTGCCACGGTAAAAATTCCAGGTTTCAGGGTAGCAGAGCTGGCACGAAGCGCCTTGGAAGGATTAGGACAGTAAAAGAATCTGCAGGTTGTTTAAGAAAGTCTACAGACATTTTTCTCGTCATGGTCAAACGTGTCTCTTTCTCAGTGATGTTGGTGTCTCCCAGCCTTGCCGACCTTTCCCGTCTGTACCAGACTGAGTTTGTGCGGAGCGCCCGGGCCGTTGGCGTCCTCTGGGCCGTCTGCACTCTCTGCTTTGCCATCATCCAGGTGGTTATCCTGGTGCAGCCGTCCTGGATCTGCACCACAGACGTTCGCCCACAGCAGGCGGGACCAGAGCCACCCAGCGGCACACTGGGACTGTTTGAGGTGAGAAACAGTGCCTGTCCAATCCACAGCTGGATCTTTTAGGGGTTTCTGTATTTGTATGTACACATTACACCTGCACACAGATGGATTATCAAATAGCTTACCTGATCACTTTAATGAACACGTGTATGACATGTGTGTTCATGTATCCCTGTGTGTTGTCAGGTGTGCATGGAGTCAGACTGGCCGGTCCCAGACTGTCACGGTGGTCTGTCCACTCTGTCTCCACTGCCGTCCTTGCAGTCGGTGGCGGTGTTGGTGGGAGTGTCTCTGTTGGCGGTGTGGACCAGCGTCCTCTGTCTCTGTCTCTTCAGGTTCTGCAGCGCCGCAACGGTTTACAAGATCTGCGCCTGGCTGCAGCTGACTGCAGGTTAGTCATGTTGATGGGTCATTGAATCCCAAACATTAACACTTTGGTCACTGCCGTGGTCGTTTTTCTGCAGCTAGAAGAGAGCAGAACTGCAGCTCATGGTTATTTTTGCATTTGGCTTGATTCACCAGGCTGGAGGTTGCTGCTTGGTCAGACACTAGTTTTATTTTAGAGGACAGTGTTTCTGTAGTTCTTCTCTCTGCCTGTACAGGTCAGCTTTTCAGTATTTTCTTGTCTCTGCAGGTTTCTGTCTGGCGTTGGCGTGTCTTCTGTTTCCTGACTCATGGGAGAGTCAGGAGATGAAAGCTCTGTGCGGAGACTCGGTGAGGATTCTGATTGATCGTTTTGCTTCTGCGTGTTTTATCACACTGATGTCCTTAATCGCGAATCTGTCTCCAGGTGGGCAGCTTCTCTCCAGGTAACTGCTCAGTTCACTGGGCCTACATTCTGGCCATCCTGGGAGTTCTTGATTATGCCATCTTGGCCACACTGGCCTTCGTCCTCGCCAACAGACAGGACGCCCTACTTCCACCAGATACCCAGGAATGTGAGTGTGGGGGTAAGGGGGTAAACTCATCTGACGAGTTAACTTCACAGTTTCATACTAAGACTCTTTTTTTCATTGCTGCAGTGACCGCAGGTCTGCTGATGACAGCATGAATCAGCAGGTGAGTATCTTCTTTATGTTTTACTAGTCTTCTGTCTTTAAAGCCTCAGATATTTATTTCTTTTTACTCTCTCTTAGGGATGTTCGGTCTTCATTTCTTCAACTCCGCCCGACCTCTTCATCCTCCATCATCATCATCATCTGTTTCTGCATTTCATGGCACGACTGTCTCCTTCAGCTGCAATCGTTCATTGCTGCATGATGTTTCCAGGAGGAGTTGTTTAGTGTTGAACAGAGGAATGTAACAACAGGAGGAAAGAGGCTCTGCGGTGGTGAGGTTGGTGTTCGGGACATTCGGTCGCTGTTCAGTTGAAGAAAAATGGTGAGAAAACGAGCGAGATGGAGTAAATCAAAGGAGAACTAAGCCCCTTTTAGACCTCCAGTTTTTATCTTCACTCTCATATTAGTGATACCGTCATAACAGCTGTGTCAGCAGGCTGGACCCACCTCCAATAGATGCCGTCAGCACAGGTCGTTTGAGTTGCAGGTGATTTTTTTATTTATTTATTTTTTAACTAACCACTGGGAGCAAAATGAAGTGTTGGTACTGGATGAGCACAATTAATAGATCACTACATAGTAACATTTCTACACAGTGTGGCAATCAATCAGGACAACTTTAAAGCAGAAACAAATTCGTCCCACGCATTAAATTAAAATATATTTGGGATATTTTCCGGAAAAACTCAAGTCAGCAAATTGAAGGAAAGTCTTAGATTTCTCTACCGACTTCCTGTTCTGTCAAGCCATCCTTTTAGCTTAGTATCAGCTTTATCTTATGGTCCATCAAGCCTTATGATTAAGACAGTTTTAGTAACTGTTTCTGCAGCTTTTAAAATTTACAAAAGTTGTAGAAGAAAGAAAAAAAATCTGCTTTGTAGGTAAAAGTTAAAACTCCAGTTAACAGCCTAGAGTTGATATGTTAAATCTCATATTTTGGGGGTGAAACTGTATCCCCGCCACTGTCTTTCCATTTAGACTGGCTTTATGTTAATATGAAACTTGTTATACTGTTGCTTTTTGTTTGACTTTTAAGCTACATTAACTAACTAATGGTGTTGAATATTCATGTTAAACATGATGTTGTAAAGGTAATCCCTGTGACTTCCCCGCAGATTTCAAGATGAACGTGTGGCCCAGCACTGATGAGAAGCACAATTGTTAGACAGTATTATTCTACCCTTAAATTTGGTCTTGCTTGGTACTTAAGTGTCCATGTTTTGTTCACTGAAGAATGAAGTCCTTTGCAAATCAGTGCCACAAATCTGTGTGCATGAGCCAAGCGTATTCGCTGTACTATTTAGAGTCAAAGGAGCTTGCAAAGAAAAGCGTCTGGACTTCTTTAAGTTACTTGAAGACGTTTCACCTCTCATCCGAGAAGCTTCTTCAGTTCTAAGGTCAAATGGTGGAGAGTCCCAGATATAAACCTAGTGGGAGTATCCCTCCACAGAGGGACAAAAGGACCCCCTGATGATCCTCTAATCCACTGAGCCAAGGTGTGAAACTGGGTGTGGGTCCCAATCAGCCAGAGTTTCGGGTGAGTTCATTGTGAAACCTGGCCCCACCTTATCATGCGAATTCCTGAGATCAGATGGCCCAGGATGTGAGTGGGCGTTAAGGCGTCTGGGAAGGGATCTCAAAACTGGATTATAGATGGCAGAGAGTTGGTGTCGTAAACCCCCGCCTCTGTTCAAAGATGGTCGCTCACAGTGGACATAGATGGCTTCTTTCACTCCTCTTTCAAACCATCTGTCCTCTCTGTCCAAAACGTGAACATTGGCATCCTCGAAAGAGTGTCCTTTGTCCTTAAGATGCTGTGTACAGTACAATGTACAATGTACAGTACAGTGCAGCGAGGAATGCTCAGACCTCTACATTGGAGAGACCAAACAGCCACTTCACAAGCGCATGGCACAACACAGAAGAGCCACCTCCACAGGACAAGACTCAGCAGTCCATCTGCATCTTAAGGACAAAGGTCACTCTTTCGAGGATGCCAATGTTCACGTTTTGGACAGAGAGGACAGATGGTTTGAAAGAAGGAGTGAAAGAAGCATCTATGTCCACTGTGAGCGACCATCTTTGAACAGAGGCGGGGGTTTACGACACCAACTCTCTGCCATCTATAATCCAGTTTTGAGATCCCTTCCCAGACGCCTTAACGCCCACTCACATCCTGGGCCATCTGATCTCAGGAATTCGCATGATAAGATGGGGCCAGGTTTCACAATGAACACACCCGAAACTCTGGCTGATTGGGACCCACACCCAGTTTCACACCTTGGCTCAGTGGATTAGAGGATCATCAGGGGGTCCTTTTGTCCCTCTGTGGAGGGATACTCCCACTAGGTTTATATCTGGGACTCTCCACCATTTGACCTTAGAACTGAAGAAGCTTCTCGGATGAGAGGTGAAACGTCTTCAAGTAACTTAAAGAAGTCCAGACGCTTTTCTTTGCAAGCTCCTTTGACTACGATGACCTGGATGACTGAGAACCTTCACAGACATATGTACTATTTAGAGTACTCATTTTTCTCTTAGCTCAACCTTTAGGGACTTGTGTGGAGCACCATTTGAAAATATGGAGATGGGAATGAGCTAAATAGACCCACTTAAATGTAAAAGTGACGGCAGGTCACTTTGATGGATTTAGGTTTTAAAAAGGTTAAAGAATAAAAGGAGAGGGCTGCTGTGACAATATGTTTGGTCTGAAGATCAGTGGTCCTATGTTGTATAAAATCATCTTATGTCATTTTTCAGCATTTATTAAGTAAAAAATTGTTTTAATCAAAGTGGTTAACCTAGCTTAGCACAAGCACTAGAAGCAAGGGAGACTGTTGGCTAGCATAGCCAGATTTATCTTAAATATGTCCTAGATAGCAGTGGCTTCTACCACTAATGTATTCAGCATGAATAAATGTCTTATTTACATTGTATATCATATTATCTAACAGTTTGTCATTAGGAGTCAGAATGAAGTTACCATTAGCTTTATGATATAAGCCTATGCTTCCAGCCTGATTTTTAGCTAGGTTAGCTTGCTTTGAGTTAGCTACGAGTTCATTTAGATTTGTGTTAGCTTAAGGTGTTTAAATGAATAAAGTGCTCCTACAGGATTAATAGTACTAGATGGATTGTTAGTATACATTACCCTTCATGTCTAGCTAGCTTCTTTAGTCAACTAAACCTCTTTGATTCCCTTTCTAGCTAACACGCTTAAGCGCTGCATCTGAAATAATCTATTCATTAGGATAAAATCTAAATTATTTACTAACCAACAACTTGTGCAATAACCCTTCAGTCTCAATGTAAATGAGCAGTCGAGGTCAGAAGTTTATATACGCTCATCTGTAATAATTTCTTTGAAATGTTTGTTTCATCAAATGATCATACAGCATACGTCTTTAATGACTGTTAAAACATAAGTTTGAATTTATTTATTGTTTTTCCCTAATCTACAGAGTCATACAGGCTCATAGTTGACCAATCGTTCATATATATTGGTTGGGACCTTAATGTTAGTCTGCTTTATCCATCCCAAAGCCAGTTTTGTTGTGTGTTTGCTAGAATGTCCAGCTGTGTCCAAGTCAATCATTTTGAAATGGCAATTCTTCATTATTCTAGTACCACTGGCAGCAAAACAGCCCCAGAGCACAGGTGGTACAGTGTTCTTAGGTTTGAAAGCCTCACTATTGCTCCTCCAGACATATATCCCTTATCATTGTTGCCATATAGCTCAATCTTTGTGTCATCTGACCATAAAATTTGTCTGTTTGATCAGCAGCAACTTTCAGAGGAGCTTGAAGGTGTTGATTTTGGGTGGGGGTTTCTTTCTTGGTAGGTAGCCTCTCAGTCCACGGCAATGTAAAACTTACTCCACTGTGGACAGTGATGTTGGCGTACCAGTTTCTAGTCCATGGCAGGCTTGAGGCTCTTGGGTTGTTCCTGAACATTGTAACATCCTTGACTACGGCTTCTCAAGTTTCTTTTAGTAGGTTGATGAAGATTATATAAAATCTTTTAAGTGTTTGTTACTATTTGAGCCTGTATCTATACTTTTTGAATTAAGAACATTTTCTTTAATCTTTAAAGATGTATGCTGGACAATCATCCCACCCTGTAAAAAGAGCAGCTTAAAGAAGTAAATAAAAGCCCCAAATTACTATGACATTCATGCACACGAGTGTGTATATAAACCTGTAAGAGTTCACTTTGGTAGGCATAAACACACATGTGAATGACATACTGTCACACATACTGAGTGTCTGTACGGGAGTAGGTTAGAGTTGGGTATGGGATTTCAGATGCAGCGCGGTTCTTTGTGCTAAGCTCAGCTAACCACAGAGATAAAACTGATGGAGAGCATTAGTGTTTGCTGTCAGCATGACCTTTGACCTGTAAGGTACATGAATAAATGTGTTCCCTTCTGTGTTTAAAATGTTTTTGTTGTTAATGAGATTATGCTGTGTCTTTATTAGATTCAGTTTAACTTATTTTTTCCCCC